CACACACTTAGGAAGTCAAGAGGGGACAAGAAGTCTCTCACAGCAATGCCTTCCTAGGGGAAGCTGCTGGATCTGAGCTGTCTGCATGTGGGCAGTATGCACACACACACATGTGTGTGTTCTGCGGGCATGTGTGATGTCCTAGTGTCTGTGGGTATCTCTCCCACCTTCCTGCTCTCTTGGGGCTGTGTACTTCCTGTCACTCGGGTGGCAGGAACGCTGTGGTTTCAGATGATTTTCCACCCTTCCATAGGCCACAGTTTTCCATCTTACATAAACGAGGGACTTGAGTTTCGAGACTTGTTTTTCGTTGATTGGTTTGTTTTTCAGACAGATTTCATGCTAGACCCAGGCTAGCCTTGAATTTCAAGCAAGCCTATCCTCCTGCCTCAGCCCCTAGGGTACTGGATTCCTGTCGTACACCACCAAAACCCGCTCCAGCTTCTGCAAGAACTTTGGAAGTGCTCTTGCAGAGTGAAGGTTTTCGTTTGCTTGTCGATTACGTACATGTGAGCATGTCTATGTATGATTAAGTGCATCTGTGGGCACAGGTGCTCAAAAAGCCAGAAGTAGCAGGTTCCCTTGGAGTAACAGGTAGCCATCTGACACGGTTGCTAACAACAGAACGGGGGTCCTCTGCAGCACATGCTCTTAACTGCTGAGACTTTGCAGCCCCAGATTTGACCATTCTTTATTTCACTCACTCTATTTATTTATTGTTTCTGAATTTTGTTTTGTTGAGGCAGTGTCACGTAGCCTAGGCTGGCCTAGAATTCCTGTTCCTCCTGCCTCCACCTCCCAAGTGACAGGATAGCAGGCATATTCCACCATGCCTGGTTTATTTGGGGTACAACAGGTGGTTCTGAAGGCCTTGCACTTGCTAACATACTCTGCCACTCAGCTATACCACAGCCCATAATCCAAGGACTTACGCTTTGCTTTGTTTTTTTTCAATAGGGTCTTGTTTATGCTGCCGTCGTTGGTCTAGAGATAGCTATGGATCCCACTCCAACCTTGAACTTGTAGCAATCAACCTGCTTCAGCATTCTTAGTGCTGGGAACAAAGGCAAATGCCACCATGCTTAGCTTTCTCTCCCACTCCCCTCCCCGCTCTGGTTTCAAACTGGCTCTGTAGCTGAGAATAACCTTGAGCTTCTGGTCTTCCTTCCTCCACCTCCCAGGTGCTAGAGTAACAACCCTGCCCCAAAATGCTGAGCTTAGTCTAAAGACTTCTGAAAAAAAAAAAAAAAACCCAAAAAACTAAATGAGAGTAAAGAGCTTAAGGCTGCTGTGGTAGGGTTCAGAGTTAGATGTCAGCAGAGGCCTGGACTGGCTCACAGCAGTCTCAGGGAGGACATGAAACCCCCAGTATGGGACAAAAGCTGTTAGAATGGGCCTCACATGGTGTTTTCCTACCCCATACATGCCAGTTATTATATGACTTCAGAAAGGGAGAGGGATTCCATTCCAGTTTCCTGTGGGGAGCTAGGGAGGCAGAGAAGTAGAAAAGCAACCATCGGGGAAGACAGACTTGGGAGGGGAAAGTGGCCCCAGGTCCTGCTCTGGCTCCTGCAGGCCTGATAAGCAGGTGCTAGGCTCCTACCCAGATAGTGTAGTCAGCTTATCAGGGATCCCAGGTTATCTTGCCCAGGACCAGACTCTGTTCCAGTTCCACACCCTGATCGCAGAAGCCCCCACCCATAGTTAGAGGTCACAGCCACAGACTGTCTGGCTGGTAGAGATATCTCTGTCCTCTACTTCCAGGACCCCCTCACTTCTCTCAAATTCACCCTAGGACCTGGCCTAAGCAGTGCAGTGGGCAGCATGAACTAGGTCCCTGATGTAGGAAGACGCTTGGCTGGCTGTGGGTCCTAGAGTAGAGGTAGCTTTGGGAGGGCACAAGAAAGGAAAGGGAGGGAGGAGATAACATGGTCAGAGCACCGATGGTGACATTTCCTCACCTGTGTATCTCTCACTTGACTCACACCTTGCTGGTCCATGTAGCACCCCTGAAGCTCAGATAAGAGCAGCAACTTGCCACCAGCCACACAGCTAGTGAGGCGAAGGGGAGGGGGCGCTGAAAGCTCCGTTTTACAGTTGACAAAATGGGGGCTAAGTCTGGTCCTAAGTCATGGAGCTGGAGCTGGGAGTAGTGAGCTGTGCTTGTCACTCAGGGCCTGTCACTGCTAAAATGGGCAATCTCAGGGTTTCCAAAGTGTTTTCAAGAATATTCTGTGGGAGTCAGGCATGGAGGCAGATGCTTACCTATAATTCAGCATGTGAAAGCAGGATCAAGTTATACAGGGAATTCCAGGCCAAATTCAGACATACAAAAAAGCAAGCAAGCAAGCAAGCAAGGGGGTGGGGGGGAATGGGAAAGGACACACAGACAAAGAGAATTTCAGATACCTAACAGAAGCCTGCCTTCCCTGTGGTCCTCTGTGGACAGGAGCAGAGCAGTCTTAGGTATTAGTTTATTTGAACTCCAGCGGCTAGCATCTGTACCACGTGAAAGCACGTTATCCAAGCGGGTCTGGTGGCAAAGGCCTGTGATGCCAGTTACTTGGGAGGCTTGAGGCGGGAGGATTGAAAAACCAAGGGCTGCTTGAACTACACAGTTAGGTTCAATGTCAGCCTGGACGACTCAAAATAGAAAGGGAAAAGAAGGCTGGAGGGCTGAAGTGTAATGAGGTTGTTCCAGTGGCTGCCGCAGACGGGAGGCTCTGTCCATCTTCAGCCCAGTGACGCAGGCCTGCAGCCCTTGCACTCATCACAAATGGAATTTGAGCTGCTGGTAGTATCACATGCCTTTACTCCCAGCAATCAGAGGCAGAGACTGGCAGATCTCTAAGTTCCAGGCCAACCCAGTCTACGTGCAGAGTTCCAGGCCAGCCAGGGATACCCAGTGAGACCCTTTCTCAAAACAAAACAAAGAGACAATAACAAAAGCACTGTCATCCATACCTACATAAGATGTGTCTAAAAAAAGTTAAATAATGACTAGACAGAGAAGAGTCCCTGTGGCAGGGACACTTAGGGACCTGACAACAGTGCTAATGAGGTGAGGGAAGACCATGCATGGCAGAGGTGGAGCCCACGCTGGAAACAGACACCTTCACAGAACTGAAAGGTTAGGTCTCTCCTCCCACCCCATCCCCCACCCCCAAAGGAGGAAACAGAGCAGACTGTCTAGGATAAGAAAGGGGGCGGAACACCCCCCAGAAAGAGGGTCTAAATAGCAGAGGTTCAGCTGTGGGGAATGTCTCAGCGGAAGTTTCCGCTTCTCCACAGGGAGAGACCCAAACAGTGCTAGGCTCTCACTGTGTCCTGAGCACTGAAGTATTGACCCCAGGCTCTTACACTGGCTCCGACAAGGACTAGGGCCTCAGGTGTTCTTCTGCCTCCCAGCAGAGGCCCACTCACCCAGGGGACCTTGCCAGAGGTGGCAGGCAAGCTCTAGCTCTGCCCGTCTAGTCCAATCTTGGGCTCAGCACAGAGTCCAAGTCTAGGAATGGAAAGTTAGGCTGAGGGTCCAATGGGCCTGCTCCCAGACAGATTCTACTCACATCCAGCTGCCAGGACCCTCCTTGTCCTATACAGATTCATCATTCCCATCATCACCCACAACAAAACAGGGCCTCTCAGCGGGGCTCCAACAACTAAGCCCTGAAGGACATGGTGGGGGTCTTTCTCCTTCCTAGCCCAGTGGGGTGTGTAGGTAACCTGCTTCACGGGGTTGGGGTGAGAGGTTAATATTGCCTTAACAAAGTCACCCACTAGAAGAAAGGCAGGGTGGAGGTGTAGTTCCAGGGTTGGGGTGCTTGACTAGCATGATTAGCCCTTAAGTTTCACCCCCAGCACAAAAAAAAAAAAATAAGCAGAAAACAAACAAAAGGGAACGGAGCCTTGTCCTGTCTCATGAAGCCAGCAGGGGAAGAGTTAAGAAGTAGGGACATTTAGACCCCGGGAAAAGTGCCCCACCCAGGGGAGGGGCCAGAGAGTTAAAAGCCAAGCTGCTTGAGGGAGAAGGAAGAGACAGCCAGGCTCTCCCTGTTCAGGGCTTCCCTGGACAGAAGCTCCAGCTCCGGCTCCAGGTAAGCAGTCCTTGGAGTGGCTATCAGCCTGCTTATAGGTCTGCCCAGAGGGAAGCTCCTGCCTCAAGACTTTGTTTCTGCCTGTAACTCTGGATCCCTAAGAGATCTACCTGAATAGATCTTAGCTCCCTCTTCTAAGACACCTGGGTCACCCTGGACCACAGAATCGGGGAGATGCTGCTATGGGAGGGAGTGAACGAGCAGAGAGGAAGGGAGTTTTGTGTCTATCCCTGACGGACCCTGAGCCAGTGCCCTGGCTCTCTCCAGGCCTGCTGCTCTCCTCCTCCAGCGCCTTGGCTGGGATATCATCATATACTGTAAGTTTGTGATGAGACACTACAGTATAGATGATGTACTAGTCTGGGTGGCCCAGCTCTAAAGCCTGCCTGGTTTGCAACAGAGACACGAAGTGCATGGGGCTCACTGCTTGGTCTATCAAGCCTCCTGACAGCCGTGGTACTTGGGAATGGCGAGGAAACCGTTACCATTACTGAGTTTAGTAATGGTAACGGTTCTCTTGCTGCTCCCACAAACTGTGCCAAGAAGAGTTCGTGACCCTGAAGCAGACTCCTGGAAGAAAAGGAGACCCAGACTGACAAGAGAATGGGGGTGGGGGAATGGGTACATTTTTCTCTTCACTGTTCCAAAGAAATAAAGGATAAGAATAAGAACACTTGTCATTTAACTTTATTAGCATCAAGGCTGGGTGGTCGAATGGGGTGGTCGGACTTTTGAGTTTAAAGCCAGCCTGATCTAAGTAGGGATAGCCAGCCAAAGTTGTAGGGTGAGAACCCTGTTTCAAAAAAAAAACGGAAGAGCACACGTCAAAAAAAAAAAGGCCAGGCAGTGGTGGTGGCACATAGCTTTAATCCCAGAATTCAGAACTTAGGTGGATCTCCGAGTTCAAGGCCAGCCTGGTCTACAGAGAAAGAGAATGAGTTCCAGGACAACCAGGACCCAGGACTACAATGAAAAACCCTGTCTTGACAAACCAAAAAAGGAAACACAGGTCCTTATGCAACTTCAAGGTGAGGAACTTGGGGAAGAAGAGAAAAATTCTGTTCCTACCAACAATGGGAAACTCAGGGCAAGAGTTTGGTTCCAATGCTAGACCCCAGTCACACCATGGGGATGTGGCTTAGAACCATCGGTTCTAAGACCTATATAATTGAGACCCTAGGCAGAGGAACTACCTAAGAATTGAGCTAAGGCAGCCTCTCTCCTCCAATGGAAGCATAGTTGGGAAGGCACTGTGCAGACTCGGCAACTCCAGGCTGGCTAGCAGCCAGTGGCCATGACCCTTCCCAGTCCTGTGACCCCTCTGATGGGTAGTTCTAACCAGTGACTCTGCTAGCAGCTGGAGCAGGGATCCACTGGGAGAAGCAACAGAGGATAGTCATTTGAGGAGTTTCACAGAGAGGCGGATGAGAACATCACAGAGGAAGATGTCCATGAGGTCTTGGCCCACCTCCTGTGCAATCCGGGAGATCAAGAGGCCCTTCTGACCAATCAGGATCCGCTGCAAGTGGTGAAAAGAGAGACATTGGTTCTGCTCTTAGGCCTCACAGATGGGGAAAAGCCCCTGGTTAACACTGTGCTACCCTTCTCTGAGCATCCCTCACTTACCACATGAGATTCTTTGGGCACCAGAAGGTTCTGATGGATCACTAGCTCCCCACTCGGTCCTTCCTCCCATATCACTGTCTTCTGTATAAGGAGACATCATGACTAGTCAGGCAGGCTCATCTCTTTATCTCTTGGTACCCAACTGTTCCAGGTGTGTGCCTGGTATATAGACCCTGGATCCTTTTACTCTGTCCACACCTGCTGCACACTGTAGGGCACCTCCTCAGGCAGGTACTCTAGGAGTTTCTCTCTGATTTTATTGGCACAGATCTCTTCAGGTGTCTGGCTAGTGAGGACGCCACTGTGGAACTCCCAGGGTCCTGGCTGGGCCTGTGTCAGAAGGTATTGCTGTGGGAACGAAGGAAGAGTAGGTTCTTAAGCCCCATCAGAACATTATTTATGCATGCTTCTAGGAGAAACCAGGGACTTGATTATGACAGGGTCTCATGTAGCCCAAGCTGACCTTAAAATTGCTATATAGTAGCTAAGGCTGGTGAACTCTTGACCTTCCTTTAGCTTGACAAGCCCTGGGTCTACAGGGGTGAGCTACCATAACTGACTGTAATACTTTTTTTTGGTTGTTTTTGTTAGTAATACCTTTTTAAAGATAAGGTCTTAGGCAGATCAAGCTGGCTCTGTACATTCTAATTTGTCCAGGCTGGTCTCGAACTTCCAATCTTCTTGTCTCTACCTCCTAAATGCTATAATTACAGGTGTGCACCCCCATGTCCTGTTTATGTGGGGCTAGATATTGAATCCAGCACCTCTTACACATGAGACAAGCATTCTATCAACTGAGATACATTCCTAACTTCGTTTTTGGTTTCTATGTTGCTTGGCTGGCCTAGAACTCACAATGGAGACCAGGCTGACCTCAAACTGAGTAATCCTCTCCTCCTCCCCCCCCCCCCTGCCGTGCTGCGATTACAGGTGTGTGCCCCCCACCATGGCTAGTTTTGGTTTTCTGACTCAGAGTCTCACTGTAGCTGAAGCTCCCCTTGAATTCACTCTATAACTGAAGATCACCTAGAAGTGGTGGATTATGAGCAAGGCTAACTGACCTTCAGTGTGTTCACATCCTTCTTGTTTACTGCTGATAACATGAAGATCTCCTGGAAGTAGGGCCAGCCAATTCTCTGAGGGTTCCTCACTGGGTGTGTATTTGAGTCCTTAGTTTCAGGGGCAGGGCAGTGGGTGCTGGGGCGTGAGCGCAAGGCCTGCTTGATATTAAGCTTCTTGCCATTGACTACACCTTCAGTGAGGGCTGCTGTCAGCTCCAGGAGAACGGACTTCTGCTTCAGGCAATCTACCTGGGCATGTGGGATGAACAAAGTACAGGGTGAGAGGGATGGGACGCTGGAAGGAAAACTCTCACATGGGCAGTACTCACCTTGTTTAAGACGAGGATGCTAGGGACCTGAGAGAACTTGGTCAAGCACTGCAGCACCTGGGGGCTTAGCCGGTTCCTGGTCCACTTGTCTGACACATCCACAAGAACTACGACTAGGTGGCAGACAGACAGAAGGATATCTATAACCTTCTTCCTGACCCACAACAAGTTCCTGGCTATGGGTCCCAGCCACACCTCGGCTCCCAAACTCCCAGGAATGAAAGGCCCTGTTAATAGGGCTTCAGATGTTTAGTTTGAGTCTAACCAAGATCAGCAGATTCCATGCTCTTCCATGGATCTTCCAGCAAAGAACGCTCCAGATGGTGCCTAAAGAACAAATACATCAGTCAGGAAGGCTTGTGACTGCTCAGTTCTTATGAGGAATGGTCTATAACAAGGAAAACTTCCAGCTCCTAAGAACAAATATCCCCTCCCCATTTATCTTCTTCTTTTTTTTAATCACCACCCTCCCTCCTACCTCCAACACACTCACAAATATCTGTTCCCAAAGCTAATACCTCTTCTGTTTAACAGGACTGATGATGCCAGGTGTGTCAAGTAGAATCTAGAATCAGAAAGATACCCACACCACCCCCCATCCCCAAAAGAAAGATTTTTAATCGACTAGTGGAGGAAAAAGTCACACACACTTTAGGTCCAATGATTCGATCCAGGCCTTTAATCATATTAGGTGAGTGTTCAAGTATCCTAACAAGAATTTGCAGTCACAAGAGGCTTTTTTTTTTTTTTTTTTTTTTTTTACTTTTTTTACCTCGCCAAGGTCTCACTCACTTATAGTCCTGGCTGTCCTAGAACTCTCTATGTGTAATAGGCTGGACTTGAACTCATAAGAGATCCACGTGCCTCTGCCTCCCAAGTGCTGGAATTAAAGGTGTGCGCCACCACACATAGTTAGAGAACAGTCATCTTTGATATTAGCATCCTGCCTTTCCTTCCTGGGCAAACTGTTAATGATCTTAGATCTCTTACCCTTCAGTACTTTCAATGCTAATGGGACCCCAAGAGAAGAGGGTGGCTATGAATAAATGAAAGATTAATGCTGAGATGTGGCTCAAGGGCAGAATGCTTGGGTAACTCAAGAGGCCCTGGGTTAGATCCCCAGCACTGCACAAAAGAAAACATACAAAACCACAGAGTTCAGTGTTGAATTGCTTTGTTTAGTCAGGTGTGGCATCACACTTCTGTAATCCCAGCACTAACGAGGCAGAGGCAAGAGGATCATTTCAAGTTTAAGGAAAGATTGGCTTACAAATTGAGTTCAGCATCAGGCAGGGCTACTGGCAAGACTCTGTCTCCAAAAGTTAAGAAAAAAGAAAAGTTAATTTAAAATAAAATTGAGAGCTAGGCATGGTGGTATATCTTGTATCTGAGCACCTGAAAGATGGACTAGGCAGGAAGATCATAAATTCAAGGTCATCTCTGGTTATATACAGAAGGGAGGCCAACCTGGGCTACAGGAGACTGTCTCAAATACAAAGGATGGGATGGTTCAGTTGGTAAAGGTGGGTGCTGCCAAGCCTGACAACCTGATTTTGGTGCCTGGATCCAAAGGGTGAAAAAAACAAAAACCAAAAAACAAGTGAGTCCTATAAGTTAACCTCTGACCTCCACACAAACATCAAGGCACACGAGCACCCCACACACACAAATAACTTCAGAATAGAGAGCAAAAGGGGAAAGGTAAAAGAAGAACTATATGGAGCCTTAAGCAAGGGGAGTCCTCATAACTGAATCTGTGCATTGTTTCTTTGTGTATGTTTTTTCTAGACAGGGTTTCTCTGTGTAGCCCTGGCTGTCCTGGAATTCATTCTGTAGACCAAGCTGGCCTCAAACTCAAAGATTGGTCTGCCTCTGCCTCCTGAGTGCTGGCATTAAAGGAGTGAGCCACCACTACCAGTATGGTAGTTTATTTATTTATTTGGTTGGTTGGTTGGGAGATTTTTGCTTTTTTTTTTTCTTTTCTTTTTTTTTTGGAGACAGGGTTTCTCTGTGTAACAGCCCTAGCTATCCTGAAACACTTTGCAGACAAGGCCGGCCTTGAACTCACAGAGATCTACCTCCTCTACCTCCCAAGCACTGGGATTAAAAGCATGCACCATCATCACTGGGTTTTTACTTATTTTTTTTTTAAGGCTCATGGCTTGGTTTCACTATCTTGTTTGCAGAACTTCTGCAGGTACCTACCACCTGGGTCTCCTTCTCTGTGATGACCCCCAGAGCTTGACATCGAGTGGTGTGCACTTTCTTTGAGACAGGAAACACCTTCCAGAAAGAAAGAGGTTCCAGTGAGATTCCAGATCTCTCCCACACCATCCATAAAAGAAAACCAAGAAGTGAACGAAAAAAAATAAAGATAAAGATGGGATAGAGGGCCTGGAGAGATAGTTCAGTGGTTAACAGAACTAACTGCTCTTCCGGAGGACCTAGTTTCAATTCCCAGCTCGTAAGTGGTGGCTCACAACTGATTGTAACTCCAGTTTCAGAGAATCTAACATCTTTTTCTGGCTTCTATGGGTACTTGGCATACAAGCAGTATACATACTTGCAGGCAAAACACCCATATACAGAAAATAATGTGTAGAAAGGGAGGTGCAGAGGTCAGGCTGATAAACCTACGGCATACCTTACGGCCCAGCAGCTGATTGGAAAGCGTTGACTTCCCTGCATTTGGGGCTCCCAGGAGGACCACTCGGAGGACCCGTGGATTCTCAGGCACGTCAGGAGTATGGACCAAGAGTAGATTCTGCTCATCTGTGTTGGGATGGGAAGAGGAGTGACATATTGGAATCTAGACTCCACTAGATACTCAGCTCTGATGACCAAGAAGGTAATCTTACACAAAAAATGAGCATACCAGGCAGAAGCCACCCATTCTTAACTTTGAGACTAGTTTGGCATTTGACTTTACTTGATTCCATCAGGTTACCTAACCTTTCTAAGTCTCTTGGTTTTTTCATATGTAATGTGGTATCACATTTACTATCTATGCATAACTTCTTTTCACAATGACAACTGTAAAAAAAAAGTATATAAAAAAAAAAGTTGTTCAACACAGGCTGGGCATTGTGATCCATTTGTAATCAAACCCCTTCAGAGGTTTAAACAAGAGTGGATTGCCTTTGAGACCAAGGCCAACCTGGGCTACATAACTAGACCCAGCCTCAAAAACCAAAACTACCACACTAAATTATACCAGAGAAATAGCGCTTTATAAAATGGATGTGGTGGCTCAAACCTCAAATCCCAACATGCAGAAGGCTGGGGATAGTGAGCTCCAGGTTATCCTGGTCTAGAACGAAACTCTGTCTCAATGTCACCTTGAAAGAAAATAGCACTTTCTCAAGTAGCATGCACTACAGTCTGGTAGGATACTAGGCACTGTTCATTGCAATACAGTATCATGGAGACTGAAAAATTTTGCAGAACCTTCACAGCAGCATAGGATACCACAGTCAGAGTTGAATTTTTTTCTGGAACTGGAGATCTTCCTGCCTCCACCTCCTCAGTGTAGGGACTACAGGCATGTACCGTAAGGCCTGGCTTAATTTAGGATCAAAAGAAGTAGATAGAACTCAAGATTCATTTTATTGGGTCTATACTGCTTGCTATATGAGGACAGAGGGAGACAACTTTGCCTTGACTAATGATCTTTGGTGAGCATTACCAATTGTGACCAACATAGGTTTCTTCACATTCCTAAAACTATTTATTTATTTATTTATTTATTTATTTGTCAGTGGGAGCTCATGGAAGTCATAGCAAAACTTTCTGGGTTTTGATTTCCACCATTTGGGTCCCAAGGATTGAACTCAGGTTGTCAAAGCAACAAGAGCGTTTGTGTGCTAAGCTATTTCACAAGCCCTTGCTCTCAAACTCTTTAACAGCCTTCACCAGTCGCCTCTCCTTAGGCTCAGATTTATTATTAAACGAGAGGCCAAACTGATATTCCCAGAGGCAGAGGAATTTTACTTAAAAAACATGATTCCTGCTGCTAAAACCATCAGAGACCGGTCATGCCCAATACCTGTAATCCCAACACTTACATAGCTACAGCGGGAAGATCCGAATTCCAAGCCAGTTTGGGCTACACATCAGAACCTGTCTTAGAACAGAACACCTGCAACTAACATAGCTAGACCCTTTACCTCTGTGCACCGACACTGCGGGGACGCTCGGAACCAACGAACTGTCAGGCTGAGGGATTCCCAGGATACGGTCCAAGGCGGAGTCCTGACCATAACGACTAGAGGCCGAGGCCAGGAGGGGACCAGAGGAAGTGGCGCCCACGACAGAGGACACGCACCTCGCCTGGCTACCTAGAAGACAGCCGGGCGGAGCCATCCATTCTCTCCCTGCATGTGAACCCACCTGCCAGGCCCCTATCAAGGCCCGAACTAGCCCAATGCAGTACCGCCTGGGGGCAGCCATTTTGCCGCAATGCACCCTGGTACCGATCAGTAGCGCGACACGATTGGACCAAAAAAAAAAAAAAAAAAAAACTCACAGACCAACGAGTGGAAGAAAGCTAGACCGGCCCAAACAGAACTGAGGCACACGGGATACCCTAGGAGGCGTAGGGCTAGATGATAGCCAAAGGCTAAGGAAAGGAAAAATTGTGTTGTATTTACTGTCTGAGTATAACAGTCGTCTTGGACTCCCAAGCACATCGTTTCTTCTGCCAAAGTTGTCTAAAAGAGCTTTTTAATCATGTCTTCTGAATGACGACATTCCTCGGGAAGCCAAGCCACAGAAACTCCTTTTAGCGCCTCAAGAGGAGAAATTCTCTTATTGCTAGGAGTGGGCGTGAGCATAGGAAAGGGCTGCATTTCACTAATTTCTTTTTCTTTTTTAAGTGCTTTCTAGCTTCAACCCTGTAGGATCCTTTCTTATTTCCTCTTTAGCTGTGTTTTGGCTGGACGTGGCAGTCTTAGTTAGGGTGACTATAGCTGTAATGAAAGACCATAGCCAAAAGCTACATGGGGAGGAAAGGGTTTTGACTTATATATCTTGACTCACAATCCACTGAGGGGAGCTAAGGAAGGGACTCAAACCAAACAGAAACCTGGACACAGGAGCAGATGCAGAGCCATGGGAGGGATGCTGCATTCTGGCTTACTCCTCATGCTTTATTCAACCTGCTTTCTTATAGCCTCTAGGAACACCAACCCGGGGTGGCACCACACACAATGCCTGGCTCCTTCCGCATCAATCACTAATTAAAAAAATGCCTACAGCCCAATCTTATGGAGGCAATTTCTCAATTGAGGTCCCCTCTTCTGAGATGACACCAGCTCGTGTCAAGTTAACGTAAAACCAGCCAGCACAGGTTGCTTTGTGAAGTCTGCACCTTTTTGAGGTCTAGGCCTCAGTTAAAGAGCGGTTCTGTGGGAAACGTTCCTGTTGAGCAGCAGACTGTATTTACCTCCCTAAATATCAGCTCCTATCTATCCCGAGACTAAATCTTACTGGAGGAAAATGAACAGCAATAACAAAAAAACCAGGTTGCTGTGTGTGATGGAGCATTCCTGTAACTCCAACATTTGGGAGGTGGAGGCAGGAGGATGAGGATGTTCAGGGCCAGCCTGGGATGAATACTTGTCTCCAAAAAAGGGGTGGGTGGGTTGGGTGACCTGGCAGATTAGATGTTATCTTCAATCACAGGACTTGGGAGACAGAAGGAGAACAATCTCTGTAAATTGAAAGTCAGCTTGGGCTACCTAATCAATCGTAGGCGAGCCAGGGATACATGGTGAGACCATGTTTATAAATAAATAAAGCAAAATAAAATAAAATGGCAGGGGACATGGGTTAACTGGTGAAAGCAGTTGCTGTTCAGGCTTGGTGACCCGAATTCCAACCCTACTTGTCAAGGTGAAGAGAATTGGTTCCTGAAAGTTGTCTTTACATTACATAACACAGGCGCGCACACGCACACACACACGAGAGAGAGAGACAGAGACAGAGACCGAGAGACAGAGAGACAGAGACAAAGAGAAGAAATGTTTTTAAATAGGGGGATAGGGGACTGGGGATGTAACTCAGTTGGTAGAGTCCTTGCCTAGCATGCAAGAGGCCCTAGGAAGAAAGAAAGAAGCGAGAAATGGTGCAACTGTTCAGCCACCTACGAGCTCCCAGGATGCTATAGCAGCCAGAGGAACTTAACTTGACCTCCCTTGTCAGGCAGTGGTGGCTCATTCCCAGCACTTGGGAGGCAGAGGCAGACGGATTTCTGAGTTCGAGGCCAGCCTGGTCTACAGAGTGAGTTCCAGGACAGCCAGGGCTACACAGAGAAACCCTGTCTTGAAAATCCAAAAACAAAACAAAAACAAAAAAAAACTTGACCTCCCTTAGGTTTTGTGGCCTTGAGCTCCCCATGTTCTTTAAAGCTTCTTACTCAAACGTCCCAGCTCACCTTGTGCTGGTGATTAGCCAGTCAGTCGGACTCTTGAAACTGTGAGATACGTCATACAGGGACAGGAAGATGGTAATCTGTTAAGGATCTACTACCTATAAACATTGCAGGGTGCTGGGGACACATCACAAACATTTCTTTTTCTTTTTTTCCCTTTCTTTCTTTCTTTCTTTCCTTCTTTCTTTTTTTTTTGTTTTTGGTTTTTCAATACAGGGTTTCTCTGTGTAGCCCTGGCTGTCCTGGAACTCACTCTGTAGACTAGGCTGGCCTCGAACTCAGAAATCTGCCTGCCTCTGCCTCCCAAGTACTGGGATTAAAGGCGTGCGCCACCACTGCCTGGCCATCACAAACATTTCTACCCTGAGATTCACATCTAGAGATTGTGAATCCTACATCTCTGTATGTATGTGTGTCCCTCTGTGTGTGACATTAGTAATCTGACAGGAAGTTGCAGTACATCAGTACAGTACTTCGATGAAAGCCTAAAAGAAGTAAGTTTAAGAGACAATGCAGTGGCTGGAGAGATGGCTCAGTGGTTAGGAACACTGGCTGCTCTTCCAGAGGACCTGAGTTCAATTCCCAGCAACCATATGGCAGTTCACAACTGTCTGTAAATCCAGTTCCAGAGGATCCAACCTCCTCACACCAACATACATGCAGGTAGAACACCAATGCATATGAAGTGAAAATAAACTTGAGAGAGAGAGAGAGAGAGAGAGAGAGAGAGAGAGAGAGAGAGAGAG